ATTGAATATAAGGGGTTAACGTTAGTGGCAGGTTGTGTGTGAAAGAGAATAAATAAGACAGCCCAATATTTTAAAAACATTTATAATTTTTTCCCGCATATTTCGCAACTTCCCGCAATTTCACCGCATAAAATCACATAAAAATCCCGCATGTTTAATCGCATAATCAAGGATTTTTGCCCGCGTTTTTCTGGAGGGTCTAATTAATGATGACAGGAGGCACAGCAGCCCTCTGTCTGATGGACAGATGTGTTCATGACGACTTATATATTTACTTTTAATCATTGAGAGTGCGGTATAATGAGACAATAACAGGTTACAGATGCGGACATACACACACATATATTTATATAAATATATACAATTTCAGAATCAAACAAGTATGAGAGCACTCTCATAATAACACAATCAGAGACTGGATATATATATCGTCGCCGTTCAAGCGGTTACTAAAATAATATCCAGGGGATGCATGCAGAGCTGTCATTGGCTGAGAGAAGTCCGGCCGTGCGTAACGCTTCCACCGTTCCCGGAAATGCATCCGTGGAGGAGCCGTGGAGGACCCATCAGACAGTGTCTCCTCGGTTAGAGCTCCTCCAGAGAGCCTCCTCGACGCTCAATGCTCGGTCCTTGATGTGCATTTAGAGAAATGAGACGTCCTTCAACATGGCGCGCTGAAATCCATTTCCGGGTCACAACCGGAGGACCGAGGACCTAGGAGTCGAGGAGTCGAGGAGGGGAAATTAGAGTATTGAGAAACCTCTAGGGAGTATGATCAGACAAGACACAAGGAGGAAAACATTTCAAAACAAAGGTGGAAAATGAAAACAAAAATCCAAAACCATGACAGCGTGATGCACCACAAACCTTTCTACGTGTTACTTCCTGTCGAATCCAGTGAAGGATGTTGTCCACTAGCAGCTCTTAATTAATCTCTCTAAAGAACATTGTGCCAATGCTCAGGAGGATCATCATGTGTTTTTTGGCCAACATTAGACAAGCATGCATGTATTTTGATCAGGGAGCTCAGGGAGATTCTTGCCTTGATACTCTGACATGAATACCAATTTTCCCAAAGGTCCTCTCTGGTTGGAGAATCATAAATACTTAGCTGTAGCCATGGAGATGTTCCTGCAAATCCAAGGATAATATTTAATTGGTCTTTACAATATGCCGCTCTTCCATAAAATGTATTCTTATGTGTGCAACAGTTCCTGTACTAGACCTCATGCAGTGTTTCGTATACAGTGTTTTCTTTTTGTCTTACGAATCAACAGGTACAACAATTAGCATTTGACGTGTGGCTTACTTATTTTGTACGGGATGAAGTCAATCTGATGATGAACGAAGACTGTAAATAAGAAGAGGAGGCAGCGGCGACATGATTTTTGACCAAGAAGTTGGACGAGAGAGTGGAGCTAACTAAGTACAACCGAATGCCGAACAAGACTTTTATGAAACCAAAATGCTGCAACAAATTTGACTTTTCATGAACTGAAAATACAAACTGTGAAATGGTCAAAGTTCTATGACGAAAACAGACAAATATCAAACCAGACAACACCATGTTAACGACATCTGAAAAACCATACCCTGCTTTTTTGTCTATTTACATTTCAAGGAGGAACCATCATTTACAAAAGTAACATCTCACAGTTTCGAACATGACTTGAAACCAACAAATGAGAAATATGAAATAATTAGGACAATGTTTACTGAGGTGATGAATCAAGTGAGACGTAGAGTCATTTTCTCCTAGGCTTGTATACAATTTAAAATATTTTGGCAGCCATTGAAGGCTGTATGCTTCCCCTATGAATAAGAATTGCCGTTTTTCGATGTTTTTTGCTGAAAATCTTGGGACTTGTGGACATACATTTTTTTTAGTCTTGTGCCTTCACTCATTATAGAAGCTGGACATACTGTATATTACATTCTTGACGTTAGCATCTCCAAGCCAGACAGCCAGATGATGTTCTTATCTACAGTATTCATTACCAGTTTTTGTTCCACTTCTGAGAAAGAACAGGTGTCTTTCATGTCATCATACTAAAAAGAGGGAGGTAGCTTTGTTTGCATTTTTTGTCAGTTAGCTTTCAGTATTATCATGTTACCCCTTTGAAATTAGTCAAAAGAAGAGACTGAATAGGGAAGCGGCTCGTTATTCAAGTCTAGATAATATGGCAACACCCATCTAACTCCTTTTGTAGATGCATTTGCAAATAAAGTGCCTCGTGGGACACATTTGGTCTTGGAAATATTTAATACTTCAAAAGTTTGGACACTATGAAAACAGGCATTCTTGCATTTGGGGTTATTCAACTGTCTTCAAGAACGTTTCAAAGACACAGAAAGGGCAATGATTGTCTTGTAACTTATCGCAAAATGCCTCAAGAGCCTTGTATGGAAGAAAGTGCGAGTGCATCCGACTTCCTGTTCCGATATACAGAGAGGGCAAAAGTACACACATCCTTTACTCAAGTAGAATAACAGATGCTCGTGTTTAAAAATACTCTGGTAAAAGTAGAAGTACTGACTAAACTTCTTAAGTAAAAGTAAGGAAGTAT